TCGTTATCAGCCGATATAGCTGCAGTTGTATCATCCGCAAACTTAATTGTAAGGCCAGGTAGTTTTAGGTCTTCAAAGCGCCTTTTTGTTTAAATTTTACTTCGCAAGTGTCACATTCGAATGGATAAATATCCGAATGTTTTTGTTTGTGAATTTTCAAATCGAATTTCCGTTTAAATTTTGCTCTGCAAGTGTCACATTCAAAAGGAAAATATCGAAGTGTGTCACTAAATGAAATTTTAAATTTGATTTAGTTCTAAATAAAGCATTGCAAGTGTAGCATTGGAATTTTCTAAAAATATCTGGTCCTGATGAATTGGCTCTTCTTGTATGTTTCTCTTCCTTCACAAATATTCCTTAATTTGGATCCATTAGTTCAATCTCTAATACTTCTATTTCATTTTTAATGTCATCCTCTAGATATTCATCAATCATAAGCCTAAAAAAAAAAGTCATTTATTAAGATTTTGAAATTACAATAGATATAGGTGGGATACATTTTTTAAAAATTAATACATAAGTAATATAACGGTAATATGCTAATTTACTGGTAGATAAAATATTTTTTATAATTCATACAAATGTGCTGCTTCGCTAAGTTAAATGTATTTTTTCTAGACTACATTGATTGCGCTAATGAATTAATCACGAATGATTACTGGAACTTTGAAACTTTTTTGGATTCGGTTTTTTTTTTGATCGAGATTAATCCAATAATTTGAATCAAATTAATGATGAAAAAAAGTGATTTTCTGCGATTTTTCTGTGTGTGTGAATAAGTTATATAGCACAGGTTAAAACCAACTGGCCAGCTTCTCTTTTCGTCATAAACAATTGAATTTACTGAAACTTCATTTTCCCCTTCATCCTTAAAAGCTAGAAAATACGTTTGTGTCACAATAAGAGTACAGGGTGGCCCGTTTAAGAGGGGCCTATACCTTATCTTGAAATCTACGAGGGCTGTAAAAAAAACTTAAATACAAAAGTTGTTTCTAATAAAATTATCTACAAGTTTTTTGTATTGTTTTTGTTGTCACTTTACCATATACAGGGTGGACAAATAAAATTTAATTTTTTTTACGTGAATACAATGACACTACGGTCCCTGTTTCGGTTTTGCTTGGACAGGGAGCTTCAGCCTATGTCCTTCTGATGAGTCCTAACAAGGACGAAACGCGTCAAGGATTGGCACGGGAAGCCTGAGTCCACTGCGCAGTGGGCCGATTCCCAAACAGGGACCGTAGTGTCATTGTATTCACGTTGGTCATTACCTGAAAAAATCGTTCTAACAATTTCCATTGCCAACGAAAGCTCAGACCAATCAGTGTAATTCAACGCCGGTAGGGGTATTTGCCCTCGGAGTAGTTGTTTCTGACTGGTCAACGAAGTTCAGTCTATATTTTATTACATTTTTACAAAGCTCTTTGAAAGACAAATCCAACGATATACTGGTCATGTGTCTCTGATCTACCGTTTCGAACTTATTAGCGATTATCTTCAGGATTTGGGGTAATTTTCGACAGTCATTGTTACGTGACTCATAATTTAAAAAAAAAAATTGCATGATATTTTCTGTAAAATAATGCTCTTCTTTAGACTATGTTCAAATTTGAAATATTTGCTTTAAAAATGCGGTGTTGCCACGTTTCGCAAAATGTTACGCTTTTCAATTTTTTTAAATGGGACCTCCTGTAAATTTTCGAGTTTTTGGATAGCCTTTCAAAAGACAAATTTAACGATATACTGGACATGGATCTGTGATACACCCTTTCGACCTGATTATTGGCGTTTATCTTCAGTTCTAGCACAATATCTCATGTCATCCCTGTTGAACGAAAAAAATGTCTTATTTTGTAGTAGATTAGCTGAAATAGTGCTTTTTATGCATTAATGGTGGCATTATTGAACAATTTTCTATACATTAATAAAGCACGTTAATAGATGGTCGACGGAAAATAGACATATGTTTGTGATTCACCGGGCGACTTGGACAGATAAAATATTGTGCTAGAACTGAAGATAATTGCTAATCAGGCCGAAACGGTGCATCACAGACCCATTTCCAGTAACAATTTGCGAAACATGGCAACACCGTGTTTTAAAAGCAAATATTTCAAATTTGAATATAGTCTGAAGAAGAGCATTATTTTACAGAGAATATCATGCAAAAAAAAGTTCTAGAAGTTTATGAGTCATGTAACAATGACTGTTGAAAATTACCCCAAATCCTGAAGATAATCGCTAATAAGTTCGAAACGGCTTATCACAGAAACATGACCAGTATATCGTTGGATTTGTCTTTCGAAGGGCTATAAAAAAGTGTATTAAAATATAGGGTGTTCTATTAAAAAAAGGGAAATTTTATTTGTCCACCCTGTATATAGTAGAGTGAAAACAAAAACAATACAAAAAAGTTGTAGATAATTTTATTAGAAACAACTTTTGTATTTAAGTTTTTTTAACAGCCCTTGTAAATTTCGAGATAAGGTATAGGCCCCTCTTAAACGGCCACCCTGTACATATCATTATGTTATGCATTTATTGCTAAGATTTTTTTCCTATAGCTATATAAACCAATAGTTTTTTTTATCTTCCAAATTATTTTTTTTTTCCTTTTTTTTAGTAAGTTGCTATTTTTTTTTAAAAAATTTCACTTATTTAATTTTTTCCCCCTCTTTTTTTTTCTTTTTTCGTTACAATGTAATATTATTATTTATAAATAAATAAATAAATAAATAAATAAAGCCTTTATTTTCGACTCGGCGAAATTCAGCAAAGCTGTTGTTAACCGAGCATTCAAAAGAATATTACATTGTAGTATAATGACTATAGGATCAAAGTATATATAGTTCATACCAAATAAACTTATAGTTGGGTTGTCAAGCTCGACCGGCACAGCGTTGCCGTCTCTTGCATATTTTCCTTTGGTCAAAATATTTTCAGAAAAATTAATGGATTATATTATAATATAATGCAAACATTTATTACTTGAATTATAAACATTGTTTCAAAGCTTGGTTTAATAGATATTTAATAACAACTCAATTGTCAATCATCACATAAAATATAATCAGTACCCATTTTATTAACAGCCACTCTAAATACTATAAATAATTGAATATTATGAATATTTGAACCATCAAAAATATTTTCAATTATTCTGGATCACTGAAATCGCTAGAATCGCTAGAGTCTTCATCAACATTGATAAAAAGTGGAAGAACCTCTTGCCTGTCCATTACTTGTTCCCTGTTATACCACTCGTCAATTATTTCCACATTTCAGGGGTAACAGTTTCCAGTGCCTCTCGCCACATTTTTGAACAAGCATCTTAAGTATAACCATCTCTGCCAATATGTCGGTTATAATAGTTTTTTGCAATTCCCCAAATAAGTTCAATCGGGTTAAACGTGCAGTGGCATGGAGGTAGTCGTAGAACTTTATATCCATACTGTTCTGCCAAGTCATCTACCACATACTTTTTTGTTGGTTTATTCCTGAAAAAGCAATACTTGAAAAGTTGAGCATAAAATGCATACAATTTTGGTATTGTAGGTACTTACCTTGCAACAATGGTAACAAGTTCAGATTTCAATGCTGTATTTGGATACTCAACTTTCTGTTCGGTTAACCAATTTTGAATTTCAGCCTTGGAAGACGAATTATTAGGTGCCTTCGTTAATAACATGCTGTGGTAAGGAGCATTGTCTATAACAATGACAGATGGTTCAGTCAAGTTCTTCAGCAGCTGATTTTCGAACCAACGTACAAAGTTTTGCTGATTCATTTCCCCATGATAGTCGTTAAGTCGAGTTTTCGATGATAATACGAGCGATGCACCTTCAATCAATCCATTTTCATTGCCAGCATGAAGTATGATATATCTAAAAAAGCATTTAATTTGTACATCTAATACAACTGCTCTCTGTATTCATGTTTATATTCACCTTTTACCACCAACTTTGGTAGTTTTAACACCTCGCTTGTTATTGTCTTGCCAAGAGCGATTAATGGTACCATTTTGAAACATTCAAGTCTCGTCCAAGAAAACAAACTGGTACAAAGCTCTACAAAGCCTCCTGTTTCAGTCTTAGATAAGACCTCAAAAATGATATGCGTTTAACAGCAATATCAGGAAGTTCCATCGTATAGCACTGCTATCGAGCTTTGAAACATCACAGACTCTCTTTGAAGTGCATTGTTTCTTAGAAGGCGATTCCACAACTTCGTTATTTTTGATTGCCTTTGAAATAGCACAGACAGTGGACATACTTAAGTTCAAAGCCTCTGCTACGCGCTAAAAATGAGAGAAAATAAAGTTCAAATTGGAAATTCCTATTTGGTCACACGACATCAACGACTTGTGAACTCACCTTCCTAACAGCATTTAAGGGACATAAAGGGCCATTATCATCGCGTTCTCGTTCGAAATATTCTAACAAGGATGCGATTAGTTCTTTGCAACGGCTGTTAAGCTGCTTCGGCATCTTGTACACTTCGCACTACAACCTGTTTTTGAAAAACTAGCTCACAATAAATAGCACTCAAACCAACAACTCGTAAACTGCCAAAACGCAATCAAAATTCAAAATGTCAAGAATTTCATTTGGCAACATTACATTTTTTGAAGTGGTGTTACCAACTGAATGACCAGCGGGAAATTCAAATTCCAATTAAGTCAATCCGACGCCGAATAATTTCACGGTTGGCCATAACGATTTTAAAAATGGCGTCATCGATGTCACAACTACAAGTTTATTTGGTATGAACTATAGTTGCTAAGCTAGGATGAAAAGTAGGTATACATCAAAAAAATCATAATTATAATAATAATAATAATAATTCAAAAGATAAATCAATATTTAACTAAATATAAACTAGGTATCTAATTATTAACAAAATGTAAGGAACCCAACCATTCATAAAAACAATCTATGTATTGGGTAGAAATTAATACTGGCTTAGAAGAAAATTTTTATATTTAATTTTGAAATATATAGTCGAAAAATTTAAAAAATTTAGTAATGTTGGTGGCAAGTCATTTAGAGTTTTACTAGCAAGATAACTAAAAGAACCTTTAAATAAACTAGTAGAATGCCTTGGTATCTGAAACAAATCCCTATTCCTAGTATTGCGGCCATGCAAGGCGTTCCTGCGGGTAAGCTTCTCCAACAGATATTCAGGCGATTCTCCCTTAAACAACGTATGCAAAAAACATGCCAGATGCAAACGCTGCCGATCCTCAACATTAAGCCACCTCAGTTCACTCAACTTACAACTGACATGATCCCGCACTCTCAGCCCATAAATAAACCTGACACACGAATTTTGTATTTTTTGCAGCCTATACCTTGAATTACCATCCAGGCAAGGACCGTAAACAAAGTCACAATAATTACAGTTGGACAGGACAAGGGACTCACAAAGTTGTTTTTTCAGAGTTCTGTCCAGAAAATGCTTGCTCTTATACAAGTTACGTAAGGAACCATATGCCCTTTGAACGACCTTGGATACCTGTGACCGGAATCTTAAGTTGTTATCAAAAATTATTCCTAAATTTTTAACTTCAGCAACTGCAGGAATTGGAACATTCGCCATACTTATTTTCAGATTATCCCTGGCCCATTCACCACCATTACCAAAGTAGACTACTGCTGATTTATTAGGGTTTATTTTTAGACCATTATTTTCCGAATAAGTATATATTGAGTTCAAACAGCGATTAATTCTTAATTCTGCCTCTTCGCAATCTGATCGACGGAAACTAGTTAAAATTTGGCTGTCGTCCGCATATTGATGCAAGCCATTCCGGACAATGATTAAACATATCCGCTGTGAAAATAATGAACAACAAAGGGCCTAGAATTGACCCCTGTGGAACCCCCCTGTCCAGTGGCAAGCTCCTAGACCTAATTTTATTTACAACGACAAATTGTGATCTATTATGGAGATAGTCTTTAAGAAAAGTGACCGAATTATTGCTAAACCCATAATAATGAAGCTTAGCTGCTAAAAGGTGGGGGTCAAGGGTATCAAATGCCTTGCTGTAGTCTAGTAGTACCAGCGCTGACATTTTTCCGTTATCAGAGGCCCTGAGAATGTCATCCAAAATATTACCCAGCGCAGATGAGGTACTGTATCCTCTTCGAAAACCGGATTGATACCTGAAAAATAGATCGCTTTCCTGCAAATATTGCACAGCCTGCCGGTTTAGAATCTTTTCGAACACCTTTGATAAAACACTCAACAAACTTATGGGGCGCAGGTCTGAAAAGTTCGACGGATTGCTCGATTTGGGAATCGGAGTAATCGCTGCAGACTTCCATTGTGATGGAAACCTACCCTCTTGGAGAGATTTCTGAAAAATATGCACGAGAAACGGAACAACTGTGGGACAACAGAGTCTGATCATTTGCAAGGTTAAACCATCCGGTCCCGCAGCGTTAGACTTCAGCTGAGAAATCGCCCAACATACATCATCGTCCTGCACATGAAAACCCTCAAATCGACAATCACTGGCAAAATTTTGTAAATAAAATTCACGAGTTTCAGGTTTAACAATGGGACAAATATTCCTAACAGATTCGACAAAAAAATTGTTTATCTTTTGCGGATCTTTTAAATGAGAAGGTATTAAAAAATTATTTGACCTTTTATTATAAACATTCATATCATTCATTGTTTGCCACAATAATTTACTATTTTTTTTTCTACTTACAAAATTGAGATATGCTTTTTTTTCGTTACGTGTTGCTTGTGTAAACATGTTGCGCATTTCTTTATATGCATCCCAATCTTCGGGTTTTTTTGATTTTTTAAATTTAGAAAATAATTTATTGCGATGATTTTTCATAATTTTCAGAACATCAGTGAACCAAGGGGACTTAGGTCGCGTCACTCGGACTGTTCGTTTAGGAGCGTGCATGTCAAATAATTGCAAGATACAATCGCTGAGTATAGAAACTTTATCGTCTAGGCCTTCGGTATCCAATATTAGACCCCAATTAATGTTACGTAGATCAGTATTGAACCTGTATTCCTCAAAATCCCTGAAATCTCTAAATTCAACAAACTTGGGAAGTTTAGGAGGAACTGCAATTTTGAGGGAGCAATATATCAATTGGTGGTCGGAAACCTCATGCAAATCGTGATGGAAAACATCGCCAGAGAGCAAGTCCTTATTGGAAAGAATAATGACATCGATCAAGCTGGCCTTCCGCACAGCAAGTCTTGTAGGGTTTACAACGATCTGCTGGAAGTTGAAAGAATCAAGAAGATTTTCAAAATTATCATTAATGTTAGTATGTTCTAAAAGGTTAATGTTTATGTCAACAAGAAGAACCAGTTCATCACAAAGAGGCACAATATTACTTACGGAATTTTCCAGGATATTGAGAGCGTGCAGGGCATTAAATTTAGGAGGTCTATAAAAAATACCAAAACCAAGTACCATACTTTTAAGTTTTATAGTAAACCAAAGTTGTTCAATAACTTCATTTTTTTCCTCAATATCTATCTCAGTGAAGTTAAAATCGTTTCGGAAGTAAACACCTACGCCGCCTCCTCTTCCGTCTCTGTCCATTCTAAGGAATATAAAACCTGGCACAAGAATGTCCGTGTCAGGTATGTCCTCTGAGAGCCAGCTCTCTGAGATCGCTAGAATATCGAGTTTTAGATCAATAATACAACGCCTCACCGCCACCATACTAGGAACAAGAGACCTAACGTTCAAATGCCCCACTCGGAGATTATTATAATTATGATTAGCCATGAGAAAAAATTTATAAAAAGAAAAAAAAAAAAAGTACAAATGTAAGTATGTAAGTATATACCTAAAAGAAGATTGTGAGAAACAAACAAAAAAAAAAAAAATGCTAACCTAAAAGACCGTCCAAAACCGCTTCATTCTTTATGGCAACAACAGGCTGTCCATCATCCTTGCGAGCTAGAACATTTCCATTTCTGTACCATATGTATTTATACCCATGCTCCTTGAGCAGTTTGGCTCTTTTGAATAAAGCGTAGGTTTGTTTGGTGAGATCTTCGCTGATGAAAATCGGAGTCGATGCTTCACCGAGGCCACAGTTCCTCAAAGTTAATTTTCCCTTCTTTGCGCGAGCTTCCAGTATAAGTTTTTTTAGTTCAGTAGTCGGGAGAGTGACGATGACTTTGATGCCACTGTTTTTAGTATTTAAATAATTCAGGTTACTCAAAACTGCCTCACTGACTGGGGCGTTAAGGGCGTTGAACAGTTTTGACAGATTAGTAGCGGTAGAGTCCTTGTCGTCCTCACTTGCAATTAAGCCAGAAACGCAAATATTGTTTTTGATGTTATCTTGTTCCCTGACATTGAGTATGGTTTTCAGTTGATTGACTTCTTGTTTCAGTACATTGTTTTCCTTAGAAATTTCATTTACCATATCCACCAGGACATTGGAGCGCTTTTTTTCTTCCTCGTACATTTCATTAAGAAAATCCATGGACTTACGAATCTCCCTTAGCTCCAACTGAAGCTCTTTGATAAGCGATTTTAGCTCCGGATCTTCAGCGGGCGGGGCATTCTGAGAAAACCCGAGGGATCGGCGCGAAGAACTGCTGGTCTGAGTTGGACTGCAATTTTTGCATGACCACGGTGTCTTTTCCGCTTGCATGATCCTGGCGTCCACTTCTGTAACATTACCGCATTGGAGATGGAAATAACTTTTACAAACTCCGCACTGCAATTTGAACTTTTTACCAATATTTGTTTTACAAAGGTTGCAAAGTTTCGAGGTCAAAACCATATTGCAATCCACGTATGAGCACTACCAACCGGCAACAACGCGTGATTGTACGATGGTAGTTCCAAGTAAACCACGGGGTTCAAAGTTCAATTTCTATCACGTTGAGAATAGTACCGTCAAGAAAACCTCTAGAGACACGTAATTTGCGAGCGAATCAATTATGCACTGATACTAAAACATATAAAAATCGCGTGCACCCCGAGCGAACAAATTCTTGCGAGAATTAATACCACTTTTATGCAATTCTATGCAGAGCAAATAAATAAAGCATTTTAAGCAAAACGAGCGACGTTGCCATATCTATATATTTATGATAAATTTGTACAACATCTTGTAAACCTCTATATTTTTCGAAGACAATAAGCCATTAAACTGAAAGTATTAGATTCACAAATTCTACCTGCAATGCCACTGCAGGTAATTGAAGCCTATTACATCCCAAAAAAAGGAGGTCCAGGTCTTTTAAAAGATCTATAATTCAAGATTTGAGAACATACCTAACTTCAAACAACTTTCGTCACAACAAATCTGATTGTTAAAACAAACTATTTTTATGGTTTTTTATTTGTTTAGTACTAGTTTTTAAGTGATAATTTTAATTTTCAAATATTAATTGTCAACTTAGTCACAGATTTGAAGAAATGAGCTAGTATCATTAATAACTATTACAAGTCGCTCTCAAGGATATATGTATATATTACATTAAAACACTTGTTAATCAATCCACTGTGGATGCTGAGTGGACATTCAAAATTGTTTCACGTTTAAATTTTACATAGCAAGCATTTAATTCAAACTCACAGTTATTCAACTGAATGCATCACTGAATGTTGTTTTAAATTTTCATTGGTATTAACTTCAGCGTTGCATGTTGCATTTTGAATTTTTCTCATCCAAATGCTTCAATATGTGTGTCTTTAAGTTATGTTTTAGCAATGCTTTACAAGTGTCACATTCAAAAGAATAAGTATTCAAATGTGTAAGTTTGTGAGCCTTCAAATCGGTTTTTCGTTTAAATTTTGGTTTACAAGTGTTACATTCAGAAGGAAAAGTATCTGAGTGTTTTACTTGGTGACTCTTCAAGTCGAGTTTTCGTTTAAATTTTGCTTTGCAAGTGTTACATTCGAAAGGAAATATATCCAAGTGTATTAGTTGTGTCTCTTCAAATTATGTTTAAATTTAAATTTTGCTTCGCAAGTGTCACATTCAAAAGAATAATTATCCGAATATGTTGAAATATGCCTTTTCAAAGTAAATTTTTGTTTAAATTTTGCTTTGCGAGTGCTACATGCAAAAGGAAAAATATCCAAGTGTGTTAATTGGTGTCTCTTCAAATTATGTTTAAATTTAAATTTTGCTTTGCAAGTGTCATATTCAAAAGGATAAATATCAGAATGTGTTTGTTTGTGTCTCTTTGAAAGGTGTTTTTTTTAAATTTCGCTTTACAAGTGTCACATTCAAAAAGAAAAATATTTGAGCGTTTCACTTGGTGACTCTTCAAGTCGAGTTTTCGTTTTTAAATTTTGCATTGCAAGTGTCACATTCAAAAAGATAAATATTCAAATGTGTTAATTTGTATTTCTTCAATTCGGTTTTTCGTTTAAATTTCGCTTTGCGAGTGTCACATTCAAAAGGAAAAATATTCGAGTGTACCAGTTGGTGATTCTTTAAGTCATGTTTTCGTTTAAATTTTGCTTGGCAAGTGTTACATTCAAAAGAATAAATATCCGAGTGTATCAGTTTGTGACTTTTCAATTCGCTCTTTCGTTTAAATTTTGCTTTGCAAGTGTCACATTCAAAAGGATAAATATCCGAGTGTGTCAATTTGTGAATTTTCAAGTCGCCTTCTCGTTTAAATTTCGCTTTGCGAGTGTCACATCCAAAAGGACGAATATCCAAATGTGTTAATAAATGATGTTTCAAATTTGATTTAGTCCTAAACATAGCATTGCAAGTGTAACATTGCAATTTTCTTAAAACATCTGGTCTTGATGAATTGGCATCTCTTGAAAATTTTTCTTTTTTTATAAATATTCCTTTATCTGGATCTATCAATTCAGTATCTGTTACTACTAATAGATTTTTAATGTCATCCTCTGGATATTCATTAATCATAAACCTAACAAAAAAGGCATTTAGTAAGATTTTGAAATTATATTACATATAGGTGGAATAAAAATTCCAAAAATTAATATATATATATATATTATACTAGTAGATACAATATTTATTACAAATTAATACAAATATGTTGCTTCACTTATTTAAATATAATATTGATTGCACTAATTAACTAATCACGAATGATTATTGGAACTTTAAAAACTTTTTTGTATACGTATTTATATTGAGATTGAGATTAGTCAATAATTTAAACCAACTTAATGATGAGAAGTGATTTACTGCGATTTTTGAGTCTCAATTTTTCAAAAGCTCTATAATTCGAGATTTGAGAACATAACTTTAAACAATTTTCGTCAGAACAAATCTGATTGTTAGAACAAAAAATTTTTATGATTTTTTTTATTTGTTTAGTACCTACTGGTTTTTAAGTGAGAATTTCATACAACGTCTATTATTCAAAATTTAATCTACGATAGTCTAAGTAGATTTGATTTGCCTTGAAATAGCAAAAACTTCTCAAACAAAATTTAGCAGGTGCCCGTACTAATGGGTAATTCATTTTTAGAGGTACTGTTTAGGGAAGCGATTTTTTGAAAGATCTGTCAAACTTCAAAACTGTCACGGTATTTGTGTTTAGTATTGTTTGACAATTCATCATGGAAAGAGGAGGTAATGTCACTTTTATTTCTACTATTCGTTTTGAAAATATCGATTTTGGATTTGATTACTGAGCAATTAATATTTTTTTAAAGGAAATCATTCATGTATTTTATGATATTATTATAAACTGCATAAGCAGTAGAAAATAAATGCTATTCAAATGTGCGCGACATTTTTATTTATAAGAGTAGTGTTAATGACATGGTTTAGATATTGGCGTCCTTGGTGGATGGAAGTACTGGATGAAAATACTGAGGTTTAGGACAAAAAGATAACTCCGGGATTAAAAATTCGCCGACTTTCAACCAACTGCGTAATAGTATATTACATACCGAGGTGGGAAGAGTTTCATTACTGTCGAGAGATTAGTTAGTTAACTGAGACGCGAAGCGTCGAAGTTAACTATAATCTCGAGACAGGAATGAAACTTCCTACCGAGGTTTGTATACTATTTTATTTACAACAATGACAACCCTCATAATTTCGACTAAATACAAAAAAAAAAAATAATAAAAATTTGTTGACAAGTTTTGACTCATTTAAAGAAACGTTTGACATGTAGCACTCGTCTTAAACATTTAAGGAAATGAGAACTTACTTTCCACCCGGGTAGAAAGTGAGCACTTTCCACCCGGGACCACTTTCCACCCGGGTGGAAAGTAAAATTCAAAAAAGTGTCACTTTCAAACTTTTGAAAAGTCAGAAATGTCAACATTACGTATGTGGTTGTAAATAAACTTTATTGCCAGATTTGTTACAGGAAAATACATTCAAAGCCCTCCCTATCTTGTCATTCTTAGATAAAATAACAGTTAATACATATTCTTATGTTCGAGCGTGTATTTCAACTGGCGAAGGACCACCCTGTACTCAGGAAAAACAGTGGAATGCAGACGAGCTTCGAAAAATATTTTAATAAAAAAAAAAATAATAAAAAAATGCGTTGACAAACTTTTCTATTTTTCTAAAAAAGTGACGTCTAGTTATTTTAGATTTGCTTGGTTACTTCTGTTTTGTTTCTTCTTCTCCATCTCTTGATTTTTTTTCCATGAATCCAGAGGCGTCGTTGAATGAAATAGAAATATTTGAAAATTAAATACCTACTAACCGGAAAAAAATTTTGTTTAGGTTTCTTATGTGTTTTTTTTTTTATTTAGGTTATTTCACCTAAAACTATAAAATTTTTGAGGGTGCATTGGCAAATGTATACCCGAGCACAACCGGAACGTTGGCGCTTTGATAAAGGACGACAGGACGCCCTACTCAAAGCCAAGCAACGCGACGTCGGGTTGGAGATTGGATGAGTGACCGCAGTAGTATGGGACGGTGGGTCGACTGCGCTGCCGCCAATCATCTGATCTGCAAGTATGAATGAGAAGTATGAATGAGAAGTATGAATGAGAAGGAGTAGAGCCCATACGAATGACATACAAAAAACCTATAAAGGCTGCAGTGTAGAGTATGGGCTCGAAAGGGTGGAACCAAAAATCTAAAAAATCTAATACCCGATCACAAATTTTCTTCTTTGGGTTGTGAGGTTTGTTTGTGCATGTTCTGGAGAGTACTAAGTAAAGGGTATATAATTTATCTTTGGAACACTATTGTAGAATATCATGAAGAATTTTTTTGTATTGTATCATATTTATTTATTTATTTAAACATCCAACTACATAACTTTGAAGTTACAAATGATAAAATCCTTGACCAAAAATACATGAAAAAAACACATAAGTATACCTATATTTTGTATTTATAAAAGTTACATTGAAACTCTAGTTTATCAATTTGCTTGGGATGCTAAATTTAACAAAGCAAGCATTACATTCAAACTGACACTTATCTAGCTGAATGCGTCACTAAATGGTCTTTTAAATTATTTCTTGTTTTAAATTTGGCGTTGCATATGTTTTATTTAAAATTCCTCTTATTCGAGTGTGTTAACATATGAGCCTTCAAATTGCCCTTAAGTTTAAATTTTGATTTGCATGTGTCACATTCAAAAGGATAAATATCCGAATGTGTTAATTTATGAATCTTCAAATTGCCCTTAAGTTTAAATTTTGATTTGCATATGTCACATTCAAAAGGATAAATATCCGAATGTGTCAGTTTGTGAATCTTCAAATTGCTTTTCTGTTTAAATTTTGATTTACATGTGTCACATTCGAAAGGATAAATATCCAAGTGTGTTGAAATGTGCTTTTTCAAATTAAATT